TGCATGTTAACCGTCTATGGCGTTTCCAGGTAAGGTTCTGAATGCTTGCTGTCTGAAGGCTGGAGAGCTGCTGCCAGTTGATATAGGTGAGCTACAAGACCAATGGCCTCATCTGAGTCAGTGTAAGTTACAGAACATGTGTTGAGTTATAGCACATTGATATACTCTGCCTGCAGAAGGTCTCGTGTTCACCCTCCAGTATCTGCAGTATGTTGCCCAGCATGGCTACACTGGAGTAGATAATACAGCTGTGCGAATTGGAGCTGATGGACACTGTAGTCCCAAACACCAGGTTTGAGGAAAGCTGTGTAGCGTAACTTAGTATAAGAACATTCCTGGGGAAGCCTGAGCAGTTGTGGAGGGTGATGCCTCTAACCTCCTTACCAGCCCCTGGTCTCCTCTTCCCAAAAGGGTTATAACCAATTCATGGCCAAACAATTCTCAGTATTTGCCTTTATAGCTTGCCAGGGCTGCTTTGCAGTTACTAAAAAATGTAATTTCCTCTCTGCATTGGATCATCTCCATGCCTCAGTGACTATATTTGTTGTTGTCAACAATGTGCCATCACAGGCGTACTTGGAAAGAGTACTGTTCTAAACTCACAGTGGCCGGCTTAGCTCTCATTCATCCTATGGGACAAAGCATGTGAGTTGCAATCCATGACACAGTTGCGAGGGGGGCAAACCTGCCACATGTGGCAAGCACGAAGCCCACTGCAGCTCCCCCCACCCCAGTCTTAGCCACAAATCCCCAAGGGTACATCTTTTCACTTTCTCCCAGAGACCATTAAAGGTAAAGGTACCCCTGCCCGTACGGGCCAGTCTTGACAGACTCTAGGGTTGTGCGCCCATCTCACTCAAGAGGCCGAGGGCCAGTGCTGTCCGGAGACACTTCCAGGTCATGTGGCCAGCGTGACATCGCTGCTCTGGCGAGCCAGAGCCGCACACGGAAACGCCGTTTACCTTCCCGCTAGTAAGCGGTCCCTATTTATCTACTTGCACTCGGAGGTGCTTTCAAACTGCTAGGTTGGCAAGCGCTGGGACCGAGCAACAGGAGCGCACCCCGCCGCGGGGATTTGAACTGCCGACCTTTCGATCGGCAAGCCCTAGGCGCTGAGGCTTTTACCCACAGCGCCACCTGCGTCCCTTCCAGAGACCATTATTGACTTGTAAAATGTATGCTCTGTCATTCTGCTGTAATCACAGCACTCTGGGAAGCTTCAATTTAAAAACTATTAACAGAATAGATCGTAAAACATTTACAAATGCAATAAAATGAGAGGCAGTTATAGCCGATAAAAACAGCTCTAAAAAAAACACACCCCAACAACTAAGGGGAATCATGTTACTGAAAAAACAAAAAACCTTCAGTCTGGTAGGTCAAAAGTGGGCCAGAGTAAGGCATCAGAAAACCAGTAGACTAGGAAAACCTGTGAGGTATGGACTTTGATTGTTCTACTTGCACAAAAAGGTATTAGCCAGGATGGATAAATGGATAGATGGACAGACAGACAGACAGACAGACAGACAGATGATACCCAGAGAAGCAGGCAGGCAGCTATACTGTACCAGTCATCTCATCCAGCCTCGCTTGCACAATCTGCAGTGCAGGATGCAACAATGGCAGCCCTGACAGGTGCCCATCCAGCTTCTGCTTAATTCTCTCCCAGAGAAGAAGAGCTGACCAGCCCACTAAGGTAGACTGCTCTACTGTTAAAACAGTTGATCCTGTTAGGATGCTTCTCCTAATACTTAGCCAAAATCTTCCCTGCAATTTCATCTGTTGGTCTGTGTTTTGCTTCTGTGTGGCAGCCCTTCAGATATTCGAAGACCACTCATGCCTCCCCTTGACCTTTGCTTCTCTGAGCTAAACATATCTGGCTCTTTCAAATAATTTGTTATAGGACTTGGTTTCCAGACCCCTAAGATAGTTGGGAATGAGATTGGGAGAGAGGTATTAACAGCTATTTCCACCTCAATCCATAGCATGGATTGCTCTAATGCAAATTGTCTAGCTAATGTTCTATCCCAGTTCCTGCTGTTCGTGGGTTCTGTTCCCAGAGGAGTCCACTTAACCATTTCCCCACCTCTGTAGATAAATATACTGAGTACCTTTTCCACTGCAGCGTTATGACATGCTTTGCCTGATTTTAAAGTGCTTTTGAGAAAGTCTGATGAAAGGGAGGTCTGCAGAGTGTATAATCAAGCCCAGACACCAAAACAGAAGCATTTCAGAAATTCATGACTCCCTGATGCTCAGATAAACAGCATCAAAATGAGCCAAAGCAATGTTAAGTAATCTTGGCTCTGGCCAATTTACACAACTGTCTTGACATTCTCACATGCAGGGGAGGTACATAAAATGAAAAACAATTGGATTGGGCCAGCATCCAATTTCCCACAGGGGACAACCTGTGAAGCCCACAAGCAAGACGTGCCCACCCGTTGTCCTTGCTCATTGTGGTTGCCCAGCAACTGCTTTGAGAGACTCAAGCTCAACCTGTAACAAAATATTGCACTATGGAGTGTTTCGGTTCAGCCAGCCATGCCCCACTCTAAGACACTCCATTCCCTCTCTCCTGTCGGGTCATCCTCTCAAACAGCCAGACAACATTCCACAATCACTTAATTAGCTCAGACTGCACTGGGCTCTGCACTTCTGCAAACCTTGGAGTTTTCCTTCAGCTGCTGATACGTCCTGTGCATGGATGGTACTGTTTTGGCTACATAAGCCATGACACTCTGCTCTGAACACTGAAAACATAGAGGGAATGACACAGCCTCTGAACGCTGTGGTTGCATATGGCTCTTGTGGAAAGCATCCATGGAGAGACCCAGCCTTCTTCAGAAGTTTGTCTGGTTTCCTGTTTCGAAGCCGTCTAAGTCAGCATACCATAAATGCAAGCTGTGTTCTGTAGGGAAAGTACTTTATTTTATGGGGGTGGGCAATGGTTTTGCTGAATAAGTGTTCCTAGTCAAAACTGCATAGAAAAATGTGTATATTAGGAACAAACTGCCATAAGATGCTGAAGAATTTTCCTGAGGACTTTTTGTTATCAGTGCAAGCTTATGTAGAAATGTGGAGAAGTGAATTGTAAAAGTGGAAAAATGTGAAACTAATAGAAACTGAAATTGATAGATTCAGCTTTCCCTACCTTAGTCACTCTTGGCTTTTTCCAGTCAGATCAGCCATCCACCTTATTTGACATTTACATATTGCTTCACTGACAGCTCCCTTATTATCTCCACTTTTCAACACCTAATGAAGCAATCTCCTTTGCTTCTTTAGGCAGGACATAATGATATAAAGCTGAAAGAGCAGCAAAATATGTCAGAAGCCAGAACGCTTTCTTCAGAGAGCAGTACATTTTAAGACTCTATTCTTGCTCCTGATGAAAGCAGAAAATTGCAGCCTCTGTGTAACTTAAGGCTGCAATTCTATACCAGCTTAACTAGGAGGAAGCCTCACTGAACTTACTTCTTCTGAGTACACTTGTGGCCATCTACAGGCTGTCAGTATTTTGCCAGAGAGATTCAGGTGTATTCCAGAACTTTAGTTTTATGCAATTAAAGTGGATTTGGGTGTTCTAGTCAAACTCCCTGCATTGCAGGAATCTGCAGGATATATACTTGAATTGTAAAAAAAAAAAAAAATGCGCCTTGTTTGCCCGAATGATTCTCCTTCATTGAAGGTTTTTAAACAGAAGTTGGATGGCCATCTGTTGGGGGACATATGCTTTGAAATACTGTTGTAAGCTTCAGGAGCACACAGAACTATTGGGCAGAACAGCAGCCTGAGTGGCCAGCACCCACCGGAAGGGAGCGAAGTTTTTGTATTGTAAGACATTATTTAGCTGAAAAGGGATTGATAGATGTATTAAATTATAAAATTACTGGTATATTATAAAAAGTATATTTTAATCTAAAAAAATAAAATACTGCTGTAAATCTGTCTTGACTTTATAGTTTTATCTTATTGTAAACTGCTTTAAGGGCTTTTCTTTTCTCTTTTTTTACAATCAAATGGTGTATAAATGTTATGACATAAAATTATTTACTTGTGATTCCTGTTTTGCAGGGGGTTGGACTAGATGACCCTTTGGAGCCCCACCAACTCTACAATTCTATGTTTCTATGAGCCTCATTGGGTTGTGCAGCCGGTCCAGGGAAGGGCATGACCTAGGGAGAAGGCGTGGTTTAGACCTGAGGGGCCAGGCAGGTAGGATACCAGAAGGTTTCTATTGGAGAAGGCGGCCCTCAGATTTCAAACGATTCCCTGCTCTGGATTTCTTCAGGTCCCTGGGCAGCCTGCATTTCTTGTATAGAATATTGACACACACAAAGATACAGACCTCCTTTGCGTACATGTTCTTTAACACTGCACAGAAAGTTGAATGCCTAGTGAGCCAGCAGAGGGACTGAAATATCTGTCAATTCTGATTTCTCTCAGTTTCTTACTTTTCTAAGAATACATTTAGTTCTCCACCATTCCACATCAGTTTGCATGAAATAATTTTAAAAGTCCTCATGAAAATTCACCAGCATTTTAGTGCAAATTTCTCCCAATATACACATTTTCCAATGCAAATTTGCTACATATGCACACATTTGCAAAGCAATTTCCCTAAGATGATTCACATTTGCATGCTGATATATGCATTTTTATGCACACTTAGCCCTAGTATATGCATTTTTATATACATGGCTAGAGAACTGCATTGCAACGTTCAGAGAAATGCAAATTTCAAAGAACAGCTGTGTTTAGGTTTGCGTATGGCTCTGGAAAATGCAAAAAGCTTCACCTTTAAATTGAATTTCTGCCCCACACCTAGAACATGTTTTTAAATTGCACTGTAGATTTTGGGAAACTGGGGGAAAGGCAATACTTTTGATTACCCTCATAGAAACACCCACTATACCAGCACTTCATCTGCTTAGCTGTCAGCCCTCTCCCCTCCCTCTGACTACAAAGCAAAGGGAGGAGGAGCTGGAAAGGGCTCAGTCTGCCACTCTCAGCCTAGGCTCACAACACTTCAGCCGCAGATCTTTGGAAGAGGCTTAAGGCAACAGCCTCTCAAGCGCAGAGGTCTCTTCAGCTCTTTCTCTCTCGCACGCTGTCTCCTCCTGCTGCTGACCTTTGGCTTCCAGTGACAAGCAAAGACCAAACCCAGAAGATTCTCGTCCAGCACACCCTTTTGTGGGGCATCACTGACGTTGACCATCACCACACTGGAGAAGATATCTGAAGAGAGAGCATTCGGGATCCAACAAGTCTCCATCCTGGAGGAGAAGCCTTTGCCCCAGGGTCCAAGAACTCCCAAACCTCCAGACAAAACACACAGACACCCTCTTTTTCCTGGAGGGTCCAAGGAAAGGTAATTCTCTCCCTTAAAAGGGTGGGGGGGCATCCCATCAAGTGACCTGGCTCCATGGAAGAAGCTGTGAGCAATGCTACCGTTTGCAGCCATGACTTTGGGTTCGAACAGGCCAACGCCTCCCTTTCCTGGCCAAGCGTATCTGGAAGTGGCCCAGAGACGGTGATTGTGCCTGTGTTGTTTGGGGTGATCTTCCTCCTAGGCATGGTGGGGAACATGCTGGTCCTGGTGGTGCTTGGCCATCTCCGGCCAGGTGGGCGCCCATCACGCAGTGCCACCAACATCTTCATCCTCAACCTGAGCATTGCAGACTGCTCTTTCCTCGTCTTCTGCGTCCCCTTCCAGGCCACCATCTACTCCCTGCCCGAGTGGGTCTTCGGTGCCTTCTTCTGCAAGTGGGTCCACTACCTGGTCATGACCACCATGCTGGTCAGCATCTTCACCTTGGTGGCCATGTCGGTGGACAGGTACATCGCTGTGGTGCACGCCAAACGCTCGCTCTGCATCCGCAGCAAGCGCAACGCCACCCTGGGCGTGGGGGTCATCTGGCTCCTGTCTCTGCTCATCGCCATCCCGGTGGCTCAGCACCAGGCCCTCATGAGAGGCCACCGGCAGGCACCCAACAGCTCCTTCTGCTGGGAGCATTGGGCAGACAACCCTGCGGCCAAGCAGGTCTACAAGGTTACCATTCTGGTGGTGGGTTACCTGCTACCTCTGGTGCTCATCACCTGCTGCTATGCCAAGGTGGGTGTTGGGGCAAGAGGGGATGGAGATGGGTGGTTGGCAACAGGTTTCGGAATGCTGCCACAGACTTCTTCTCTGTGGCTTAGTTTAAACCACAACTACTTGATCCCAGAACTTCTTTTGACAGCCTGCGTAAGATCATTAGGTCTAAGACCACGTAAACTGCGCCACTGGCAATCCCAGCGTGTTTGAAGTTAGCTATGTCTCTAGATCTCTTGAAAATCTGAGATTAAGGAGTGGGGGGGCATTGTCTCCATTTTTGCACTTTTTCTCATGGTCATCTTCATACTTTCTCTCCGTCAGCTATGTGCAGGTCTCTCCTCCCTTGGATGTCTGGCAGAACACCTCACTGCTTTCTTTCCAGAAACGTTCTTCTTCCTGCTCTTGCTCTTTTTCTGCTTCGTTCTCTCTTGTAGACTGCCTTGGCTCCCATTATTTTCTACATTCATTTTTGCTTCAGCCAAATACAGGCGCTAAGATTGCCCCTTTTCTTCTCCCTTTCCAAGTCCCCTAGGACAGTGATGAGCATCAAATGGATTGTGTTCATGGGTGGACACTTTCTGGGGTTCTTGCAGCAAATGCTAAGTTACAGATGGTGGTCTAAGGAGAAAGGTGGTTCCATACTGCACATGTGAACCACCCATGGCCTGAGGGCCAATCCCTAGCCTCAGATGCCTTCAGTGTGGCCCCCAAAGGTGACCCCTTGCCACCAAATCCCTCCCCCAAATTTTGCTGCATCTCTATGTTCATTCTCCCCATGTCCTGTGCACAGCCCTCCCCATAGAGATTTGGCCATGCTCAGGAACCGGGACCTACACCTTAACTCTAATATTGGTAGGTAACCCTTAACTGGTGCTACTCCTGGGCTACACCAGTCTATTATACTGGTGCTATTCTAGTGGATCTCTATGGCTGATGAAGCCTTGGATTGCTGGGGTGGGGGAACAGAGCTGCAGTTAGGGGTGTGAATTGTTGTCCATTTCCTCCTGATGTGCATCTATCCAAGGAAGGTCTTTCTCCCTTTTCATGCTCTCTCATTTCCCCATTCATTCAGTGGGATCTCTCTCTGAGTGGACATGTTGAGGATTGGTGCTGTAAGGCTGCATGTGCCATGTGCATTACTTAGACAGAGGTTATTCCCTAAGTCGGGGGGACCAAATGTCCAAAGGGTTTCCTGAGAGTAAACCCCACTGGGGAGAATGAACATAGAGATGCAGCTCTATCTCCAAGGGACTTACTTTTAAGTAGACATAGTTAGGATTCAGGCAAATAGTTTGCCCCATCCTGTAGCTCTTCAGAGGGGATATATTTTTCTTACTCGTATTCTTATTTTTCTTACTCATATTCCTATTCTTCCACGATTATTATGACTAGTTTAATTGCATGCTAGACAATTGTCTCATGATGCACGTTGCCTGTACAGCCAATTTGAAAAGGAAACAGGGCAGTATTATTAGCATTATCTACATAAACACTTGCCATTGGAAAAAACAAAACAAAAAAACAAATCGGATTGTGGCTTGTTTTGCATGCTTACTCCCAGATTTGGAACTGCAGTTGTTGTTGTTGTTGTTGTATGTTTACTCAAAAGTAACTCCCAACCTTGGGTGTGATTTGGACAACACAACATCCCTGAAATCCTATGCACAACAGAACAAACGGACCTGCCTCATTGCTTTGAGGGGCTAAAGAGAGCCTTGAGATACTGGGGGTGAAGTGCAGAAAGGTAGTCTTAGTAGGACAGGATCCTGAAGAAGCAAATGCCTTTGAATTTAAAGGGGGTTACTCCTAGGTAAGACAGTTTAGGACAGCAGCCTTATTCCAGTTTGTTTACTCAAATGTTTAAGTCCTAATCTCAGGATGCTTTGGACAGCACAACATGCCTGCAATGTAGCAAATCCTAATCAAAGAACTCCTTCTCAGAGCAGACTGACTGAAATGACTGAACCTATTAACTTGAATGACCTACTACTTTCAGTAGAACTAGACTGAATATCAGGCCTACTCACAAGGAAGTCCTAATGGGGCTTACACTCAGGTAGGTGGGTTTAGCGACAGAAATGCACAGTTTTGATATTGTTGTTGTTGTTAAAAATTTATATACTGCCCTATACCCGGGGGTCTCAGGGCAATTCACAGAATAAAATCAAGATATAAAACCACAAAATACATAATAAAAACAAAAACAAAAAAATGTGCCCCAGAAAGCACATTTTAAAAGGGCATAGGATGCCAGCAATTGCCCCCTTGCACTTGGATGAAGTCAATCCAGTCCCGAGGACTAGCAAATTTGTGAAGAGAGGCAATTTCTGCACTCATTTCAGAATTCCCTGCGTGGGTTTGGTTTCTTTTGAATAAAGGTCAGTGGAAACTGTGGTGTCTTTAGGATATATGGGTTTTTTTTAACCCATATATACAACCAGAGTATGGGATGGAGGGACTCATGGCATTAATACTCCACAGGTCTTCCTTCCCCATTCAGTTTCCAGGAAAGCCCCAAACTCATCTTTGGGTCCCGCCCAGAGCAAGACGTACTATTTTTCTCTCCAGCTGCTAGCATTAGCCAAAAGTCGCACGCAAAATTCTGCCTACTGTTCTTGCACCTCACAAGAGGATGCCACTTCCAACAGTATTTATTTTATTTTAGTATATTTATTACCCAACCTTCACCAAAGGTAACAGAATGAGTTACAAAACAATAAAACACAACAGGCAGCAAACCATTAAAACAACTGCCCACCAATAAAATCATACGCAGAAAATAAACTATCATTTCACCTTCCCAAGACCTGGGCAAAAGAATATACACCTTTTCCTTTTTTATGAAATAGCTGGGTCCAGGTGTACCTCAAGGGGCAGGGAGTTCCAATGTCTGGGAGCCACCTTTAACAATGATTGCAGGAAAGCCTGTGCTGTTTTATGATGAGATAAATGTTGTTTGTGACTGCTTGTAGTGGAAGGTCTATGTATTTAAAGCATTTTTAAGAGAGAGTGTGAGAGACACTCAAAGTGTATTTATCTCTTCCCATAACCCCTGTGCCACATATTCTCTCCAAGGCTTCTCAATTACCACCCTTAGACCATTTGTCCCAGTTAGGGTGTGTGAATATTTCAATTTCTTTCAATTTCTCTCCCTCTCACCAATCTTAAGTAAAGTTCTTCACATTACCACATCAGTTTGTGGTTTTGTGAGGGTGTTTTTTTTTAAAAAAAGTCCTCGTGAACCAGTTACAAACATTTTAATTGAGTCATCATATGAGTTTTCATTCTATTTGCATATGAATAAGATAGTAGTTCTGAAGCAAGAAGTGTGCTCCCTTTATTTTTAGGTGATGTACAAGTGTGTCATCAGAAGACTGTATCTTATGATACATGATGTTTTGATTACCTTGTACAAAGTGTGTGTGTGTGTGTGTGTGTGTGTGTGCCTACCATCTTGCATGATAATTTAGGGACACCATTTCAGCTGATTCAAAGTTTCTGAATTGATTAAACTTTGCAGTCCTACTTTTTAATGTGTTTTCTTTCTGAGCAAAATTCAGACAGAGATCCTTTGCAGAATATCATTTTCTTCTGCAGGTAATAGTTGGAGCAGTGAAATTGCTCACATCAAATTCTATCAAGCAATTGGATTACATTAGCACATAGTGTGTCTGTGCAAAGAAAGCCTTTGCAAGGAGAGGAATAGCTATGATCATCCTTGTGTAATTTTTTTGGGACAAGACCTGGTTACACAAATCGCTACACAGTTTATAAATAAGTTTTGGAAAGACCACAGGGAATATAATATGTATGAAGGTAAAATATATTTATTGTCTCTGGCCCTGGTCCTCTCTGACAATGTCCAGAAGGGAAAGCAGCCCTTGCATTCCCTTCTAGGCCACTATGTTCTCTGAGACAGGTGTGGCTGGAGACATGTATATTAAGGGCAGAGGAAGGTGGAAGCCTTCTGGGTGAGAGAGACAGGAATGGAGTGAGAATAGCTCCCTTTCCACAAGAGTACAACCCTAAACTTATCTCGCCTCCTTTCCTCATTTCTTTTCTTCCCCTCCAGCTAAGATCTTGGGAACTTCCTCCTTTCCCTTCCTGTGGGACTCAGGGAGTGCCACTATCACAAAATACAGAAGGTCAGGTCTAATGGACTTGATCCCCAATCAAATGTCCTTTTCATGACAGGTATTGAGTCAGATTTGTCTCCCACGGAAGCTGGGACTACCTTGAATAATCCATGTTCCCAGCCCGGGTGATGCTAATGCAGCAAACTAATTGAACTGAAGACAATAAGAGTTGGCTTTCTTTCCCCTTTAATGCACACCTGTGCAGATCTTATGAAGCATTAGGCTTGAGTCAAATCCAGAATGTACCCACATGCCTACTTGGCTTTATGAACCCCACCCCTATTCCTGAACCACGACAGGTCCTATTCTACATACGTGCTCAGTCATGAGACTAGTTCAACACCTGCCTGCCTTTTCTCAGGTGGTTGTGTGTCCTGCTTTACAGAAGACAGTCCTCTGTTTGAAGTCATCCTCTATTTCATGGGTGGGCAAACTAAGGCCCGGGGGCCAGATCCAGCCCAATCACCTTCTAAATCTGGCCTGCAGACAGTCCAGGAATCAGTGTGTTTTTACATGAGTAGAATGTGTCCTTTTATTTAAAATGCATCTCTGTGTTATTTGTGGGGCATAGGCATTTGTTCATTCCCCCCCCAAAAAAAATATAGTCCAGCCCCCCACAAGGTCTGAGGGACAGTGGACCAATCCCCTGCTGAAAAAGTTTGCTGCCCCCTGGTCTATTTCAAGGGTAGGAAGCCTGTTCATTGAATGCAACCTATAGAAACCTAGGAAGCTGCCTTATAGCGAGTCAGACCATTGGTTCACCTTGCTCAGTACTGCCTTCCTTTCAGTTAGTAGCAGTGACCCATCTGCTGGGAAGCTGGAACAGCAGCTATGCTCCCCCTGGCAAGTCACTTCCACTTTCCTGAGTGGCTCCACCTCCTCACTGCAACAAGTCCAAGGGGAGGGCGACTTGTCGTTGTGTGGACTCTCCGTAGATACCCAGTTATGCTGACTCTTGGTGCTGGGCCAGGTGCAAAGATGAGCAAAATGATAAGCAGCAACGTTCAGCAAAGCGAAGAGCACGAGCGGAAAAACTGTGACAAGGAGTTAGGCTGGTGTAGTTGTTAGATCAGGACTTTGGAGACCCATGTTCAAATCCCCATTCAGTTAGGAAGGCAGGTGGCTGGAGCCAATGAATGTATGTTTCCTTCCAAGCAAAAAACTCTGTAGTGTGGCTGATTGGGAGTAGTTTGATTGCCTTCTGCCTCATTGCTTTGTGTGAGTATGCCAGCAAGAGGTATACATGATGGATTTTCTTTTAATTAATTGACTTAAGTAGGTAAAGTCTCCTAGCATTAATGGTTAAGCACATTCATTGCTTGGTTACAGTGCTTGCTGTAACTGCGTTTTCAAAAGGTTAATCTAAATTTTGTTGGTCCACTGCATGAATTCCCCCCCTCTTAATGTCATTCTTTGAAAGAATAAAAATAAAATCTCCAGTGAGTCTAACGTACCTTATCTTGATCCTGGAATGGAGTTAAATAAAAGCAAAACCTTTATGCAGAGATTATTTACCTGAAAGCAAATAATAGACATTTGTTTACAAGCAGCTATGTAAAAAGAAAAAGTCTCTGTCGAGGGGAAGGGCCGTAGCTCAGGGGACGGCATCTGCTTGGTTTGCATGAAGAAGGTCTCAGGTTCAGTCCCTGATATTTCCAGGTAAGGCTGGAAATGTCCTCTGCCTGAAACTCCAGAGAGCTGCTGCCAATCCGTGCAGACAAAGGTGAGGGAACTTTTTCAGCCCAAGGGCCACATTTCCTTCTGGGCAACCTTCCAAGGGCCACATGCCAGTGGTGGGCAGGGCCAGAAACAAAAGTGGGCAGAGCAACGAATGCAAATGCCACCTTTGCACAGTAGCTTAGTTTCTGCACGTTCCCCTCTTTATCTATTTATTATTTACAGATATATTTATATACCACTATATCACAAAAAACATACCATCCTCTATCCAGGGAAGCAAAAGGTCTCATCAGAGTTCAAGGACACATTCCAGCCAGGCAAGAACCCCCAAGGTGCAAAGCAGAGTCAGCGAAGGGGGCAGCCTGGGAAGGTGAGGGGTAGGGGTAGGGGGTATCCTCCGGAGGGTTTGGAGGACCAGATAGAGAGGCTTGTTAGGCCACATTTGGCCCCTGGGAATGAGCTTCCCCATACCTGGTATAGACAATGCTGGTATAGACAATACTGAGCTAGATGGGCCAGTGGTGTGACTCACTGACAGGCACCTTCCTGTGTAATGATCTACTAAGCCTTGGGTAGGCAAGAAGCAGGCTGGGATCTACTGCTAGATCTTTTTGAAACCTGCAGTAAGTAGATCACAAGAAGGAATCCCTGGGCTGAGCATAATGCTCAGAAGTATCTTTGTCCTTCTTCAGCTGTGAGTGTACGTCTGCTGCACTGAGCCAGTGTGGAGGGGAAGTCCATGTGGTGCCCTCTAGATGCATGTTGCTGGACTTTGATTCCAGCTCTCATCATCCCTGACCAATGGTCCTGCTGGCTGGGATTGATAGAAGGCAGAGTCCAACAACATCTGGAGGGCACCATATTGGTTACCTCTGCACTTGGTTCCAGTTGGTGGCTGTCAGAGATCCCGTACAAAAGCTAAGTAGACGACACAAGCTGGGTGCCCGCCCACCACTGTACTTAGCAACACACACCTGCTGAGACTGGCTGTGCCTCTTATTTAAAGATCATAGATGAGAAGCAAGAGCTCTCTAATATAAAGATATAAATAGAAGCCAGTACACAACATTATTTGAATATCCAAGGAGACAGAACCATTCCTGTTTTTACAAGACATGCTTTACCCATCTGCATATCCACTTTGTTCCATTTATATACCTGCACCTGACATGTAAGAACCCAAGAAGCTGGATCAGACGAGAGACTTAACTGGTCCAGCATCCTCTTCCCCACAGGGGCTTTGCCTGATACCTGGGCAAAGCCTGCAAGGAGAACATTGGGGCAATGGGCTTATCCTCTCGTTGTTCCCTGGCAACTGGCAAATCAGGGCCAGACTGGAATCTCATGTTAATTACATGAATGCAATTAAGTCATGTGGATTTTGTTATGTAAACAGCTGCTCCGGGGGAGCCTGAACAACCTCAGCACCACTGGGAAGGCAATGTGAATACTTTCTCTCCTTGCTATGGTCAGACAATGATCAATCACCTTTCCAAAGCATTTTTGTGCATTCCACATTAGCGTCAGTGGAAGATTCAACTGAAATCCAGAGAGCTGCTTCAGAAAGGCTGCTGTTTTCATAACAATAAGAATGCATGTTATTTACATTCATGCAATGAGCATTATGCCTAGTCTCATCCACAAAGGAATATTGCTTCCAAACGTGAAGGTAGCATATAGCCATCCCAGCTAGTAGCCATGGATAGAGAAGGGGGAGAAATTCAATCCAGAACACATTCAAAGCATAATCTGTCAAATAAACACTATCTGACACAATATATGAAACAAAATATAGTCACCCTCGAATGGAGTCGAATGGCTGAGTCCAATTGTTGAGTTGAATGGTTGCCACCGAAATATGTCAGTCACAATTTTAGTCCATCACACTCCCCTAGTAAACTCAACTCAAAAGACCACTTTTCCCCATTGCTAATAACAAGGTCAGATCTCACTTCAGTTATCCATGCACTTGTCACTCCCAGACTGGACTACTACCATGGCCACCTGTTAAATTTGGCTTATAGGGTGGGGAGTGCTGGGGGATGTAATAACCTGACCCACCAACCAGATCCAACTGTCCACCCCGGGATTGCATCAATGTCATGAGAAACGCAAATAGCAGAGAGCTTCCAAAATGAACCCCAAAGCAGAAAACAATGTGTCTTAAGATGCTGAAAACATGGGTTTTGTTTTCCAAACAGCCCAACGTATTTCAGCCAATTATTGTTTAAAAGCTGTCTTCAGGGGCTATAGCAACAGAGGCAATACATCATGTGAATCATTTCTACTCAACATTTAAAAACAAACTAAATTGATTATGTACAAATTGCATATAAGCCTAGATAAACGAATCAATGTGGGAGAGGGAGAGATCTGATTCTGGCAGGGGCCATGGCTGGGAGCAAAGGGTTGAACCCTGTGCTTCCTGCACACTCCATAGTCTGGCCCTTCCGCAGGGCCACCGGTTTGGTTCTGAAAATCAGCTATGCAGTGGCCAACCATGTGACCCAGGCCACACTGAGTTTGACCCTCACTTTTTGACCTTCACCCTTCTGTAGCAAAAGCAGCTTCATTCATGCTGAAGAGGGAGATAGCAGCAATCTTGTGGAGACCTTGAGCTTCATAGAAGTACAAAATTTATTTTTGGCTGGCAATGGGAGGGAGACTAAGGTAGGAAGGACGGATGGGCACAGGTGACCGCTGGGAAATGTTGGATTACATGTGTAAAAATGGAGGTGGGACAGAATGGTGTGCTCTGGGAAAGGGCATTGTTAGCTGGATTGGAGGCCCAATTTGGTTCAAGACCCAATTTGGCAATTCTGATCGGGTCCCAATTTGGACTGGATCTTTCCATGCCTGATCCAACCTGAGCCCTGAACCAAATCAGGGGCCTTTCATAGCCATGAGGAGCCTTTTATAGAGATATTTCATACGGTTGGACAAAGAGGAGGGCGGGGGAAGGAGATGGTGCTGGCAGAGAGTCTTTGCTTGCATGATCTCCTTCCCCCTCCCCCTCCCTTGACCACATGTTTAATATCTTCCCTCCACCCTCCACAAAACACACTTTTGACAGCTCTGGGTTGCTCCAGGTGGACCAATCCCTTTCCAAGACTGGCTTTCAGTGTGGCTACCCCTGTTTTGTGGAACAACAAACCTGTGGAGATATGACAGGCACTCTCTTTTTTTGTCCTTATGGAAACAATTGAAAACATTTTTGTTTCACCTAACTTTTCTAGCTAGGTGAAAAGGGCTCTACCTTATGCATTATTTTCAACCTATCTTTAGCTGGTTTTTCGGTACTGTTTTGAAAACTATTTTTTAGCTGTTTCGTGGTATGAGCAAATTAATACCACGACATTCTGGCCAGGCAAAGTCACCTGAGGAGAGCACAGGGTTGGTGCGAGGTGACCTAGTGAGAGTCCCAGGAGATGACAAGAAACGGCCAGAAGGCTGCACTTGCCCCCCACCCTGACCTAGGGTACCCCACACCCCTGATGCAGTAGAATAAGAAACATCTATTGTGCAATAAGGGACGCGGGTGGTGCTGTGGGTAAAACCTCAGCGCCTAGGACTTGCCAATCGCATGGTCGGCGGTTCGAATCCCTGCGGCAGGGTGCGCTCCCGTCGTTCGGTCCCAGCGCCTGCCAACCTAGCAGTTCGAAAGCACCCCCGGGTGCAAGTAGATAAATAGGGACCGCTTATCAGTGGGAAGGTAAACGGCGTTCCGTGTGCTGCGCTGGCTCGCCAGATGCAGCTTGTCACGCTGGCCACATGACCCAGAAGTGTCTGCGGACAGCGCTGGCTCCCGACCTATAGAGTGAGATGGGCGCACAACCCTAGAGTCTGGCAAGACTGGCCCGTACGGGCAGGGGTACCTTTACCTTTACTTTTATTGTGCAATAAAGCAAGTTTCTTCCTTTCTTTCCTTAGGTTATACGCCATCTTCAAAAGAAGGTGAAGAATATTTCCAAGAAGTCAGAGAGATCCAAAAGAAAGGTAAATTAAAAGAAAACAACATCCAATTACCAGGGAACATTAGCAAGCAAAGTGCATGCCTGCCCCAGCACTAAAGTATAACTGATCACAGAGCCCTGTAAAATTATTCTATCATGCTCCATCAGAAGCATATACTTTTGCAGTGCTGTCAGCCAGATCACTATTTAGATGCGTGACTACGGCTTGTGGTTTTGGTCTGTTTCCTTCCCAATTATGTATGTGATTGATTCTGATTCTGATGTGATTAATAAATTGTAGCAGACGCTTGTCTCTTCATTCAGGTGACCTTTGGAAGCTGTACAAATGTAAAACTCCAGAGACTTTTATCTTGTTCTGTCGAAATGACGTCTAAAGTTGGAATACGTTTAAGTTCACAAGCGGGGGAGCAGACCTCCCACCCACCTCAAATGAGTGGCCTAAAGAGGCAGGAAAGGGTGCAGAGCAGGGGTGGGCACCTGTCACAAGATTTGGTTGGGATCCTAATTCAGCATGTCGGAAAGCACCTTGCTTTGGTCTGAAGTATTTTGGAGACTGCCTTATTTGGCTTGGGGTCTGAATCTTAGAATTGTAGAGCTGGAAGGGACCACGAGGGTCATCTAGTCCAACCTGCTGCAATGCAGAAATATTTTGCCCAACAAGGGATTTGAACTCACAACCATGAGATTAAGAGTCTCATGCTCCACCAACTGAGCTACCCAGCAGAAACCACTTTGGACAAAATGAAGCTTCATTCACTATGATGGGGAATTAAAAAATGGCTATTGTCTTGTCATTTGCAGGAATAGTAGTATCTGTTCTCCAGAGTAGATAAAAACCTGCCAAATTATAGGCAAAATATATCCTTGTGGTTTGGTGATAAGTTATCTTTAAAGTCTGATTATCTTTTATATTTTTTTATACCATAACTGTACAGTGGTACCTCGGGTTACATATGCTTCAGGTTACAAACTCTGCTAACCCAGAAATAGTACCTTGGGTTAAGAACTTTGCTTCAGGATGAGAACAGAAATCGTGCTCCGGCGGCATGGCGGCAACGGGAGGCCCCATTAGCTAAAGTGGTGCTTCAGGTTAAGAACAGTTTCAGGTTAAGAACAAACCTCCGGAACGAATTAAGTTCTTAACCCGAGGTACCACTGTACTACGGTATAGATACTGATATCAGTTCCTTGCCTTTCTGACACCATTTCCCATGCAACACCTCTCAGCCTCCTAGCTCTCACCCAGGACTCCACCCATCCACCCTGGCTCTCACTCAGACCCCAAAGAAATTCACAGATCAATGCCAAAAACTCATGCAGTGGTACCTCGGGTTAAGAATTTAATTCGTTCTGGAGGTTTGTTCTTAACCTGAAACTGTTCTTAACCTGAAGCACCACTTTAGCTAATGGGGCCTCCCGCTGCTGCCACGTGATTTCTATTCTCATCCTGAAGCAAAGTTCTTAACCTGAGGTACTATTTCTGGGTTAGCGGAGTCTGTAACCTGAAGTGTCTGTAACCTGAGGTACCACTGTAATAAGAAGAGTTCCTGCAAGATGCTGGCACCACCTATATCTCTAGGCTAACTTTTATGGGCAGGTGTCAAGGTTGACAGAGCTTGCTCAGGCTGCTTCCAGCTGTGTCCCACACACCTAGTTCCAGGCTACAGCAGATTTGCTTTGATTGGAATTTCTTAGGGGGTCTAAAGGATGGCAAATAGGATAACCCACCACACACAGTTCTTTCTCTAGCCTCTGCACATTTCTCCTCTTCTAGCAGGGAAGGAAACATGCGTATTTTTTTTTTTAAAATGTTGAATTCTTCAGGTGCTGTAGACCTTTCTAAAGGGATGAAAAACTTCAGAATAATAAGATTAAGGAGGAGGAAGCTAACAGGCAGCACTACCCACTAGGTGTAAGAAAACAGTTAGTGGCAAGCAGATTGTGGGCAGGCCATGGGTGTAGGATTTTTGTTGGGGGGGGCAGGACTTTGTTAGGGGGGGCAGAACTGACATGATTGATCAATTAGTTAAGTATTTCTATTGTTTTACTTGATCTGGGGGGGGGGCAGCTGCCCCCCCTGACTACACCCATGGGGCAGACAGCATGGCAGGGCAATGCCCCATTCACCCCCGTAGGCCGGCCTCCACTGAATACAGCAGAAGGATGGAGCCGTCTTGTACTTTGCCACATACATAGAACTTACACATCATTCTCCATTCGTCGCAGACGCTGTGTTCTTTCAATGCCTGGCTTTAAACATTCAAACAGCTTTCAAGGAGGAAAAATGAGGGGATTAACTTGTGTATCAAGGGGGAGAGAATAAATCCTGGAAGTGAGCCATATTGCCTGTGCTGCTCTTCTGTTTTCAGGATCATAACTCAGACCGTATAGTCCCATATAGCATCCTCTTTCAAGCCAGAATAGCCAGTGACTCTTCTCTCCTTTGGAAGAGGAACTGTGCAGGGCTGCCTACAGACTTTAGACCAGGGTTTCCCAAAATTAGGTCTTCCACTGGTTTTGAACTACAACACCCATCATCCCTAGCTATCAGGACCAGTGGTCAGGGATGATGGGAACAGTAGTCCAAAAACAGCTGGCGACCCAAACTCTGCATTAGTTCACAAGAATAACCTACTGGATCAGGCCATTTAGGTCAGCATCATGTTCTCACAGTGGCCGAACCCTTTGCTTATGGGAAGCCAACAAACAGAACACAAGCATAATAGCAATTCGCAGCAACTGCTGTTCAGAGGCATACTGCCCCCAACAGTGGAGGGAGAACATAACATAGCCATTGTGGTGGCTAGCAGCTAATGGTGGGCGCTGACATTGGTGCTGTGGTCTTGGAGCAACAATAGATAGCTACAGTCCTCCATTTTAAATTTCCCAAAATGCTCCTGGAGAAATGCCCTTGGTGCCTTAGGGGTCAAATTAATACAAGGACCTTGAACCTGGCTTGGTAGCAAATGGGCAGCCAATGCAGATGCAGATGCTTTAACAATGATGTCCCATGTTGTTGTGCTCCCATCAGTAGTCCGGCTGCTACATTCTGCTCCAGCTGGGGCTTCTGAACCAGGCCCTAGGGCAGCCCCACATACAGCATATTACAGTAATCCAGCTTTGAGGTTACCAACACATGGACTACAATGTGCACGTGTACATAATGCATATATTGCTGGCAATAACAGACACAAAGGCATTATACTAGGGGAAATTGCTTTCAAAAATGTGTATGTTAGGAGAAATGCACACTAAAATGCTGATACATTTTTGTGAGGACTTTTAAAAAATTGCAACCTACGCTGAAATGAAAATGAGAAGCTTGGAGAAATGGAAACTGGCAGATTCATCCATCCTTGTGAGTCACATGTCCTCCCAGAGTATCCCCATTGCCATCTGCAAAATGTTGAGGGGAGGTTGGATGGCAGCTTTTGCCAGAGGGCAGCTATTTAGCATCTGCTTCCCATCTGCAACAAGTGGGAACAACAAACTTTCTTGCAGCGCTCTTAGAGGGGTGACTCAAAATGATGAATGTGAACTGTGATCCCATTCCTATGAGCAGCATATGATTCTTCTACTTTGGCCTGGCTGGTGGCACTTTTAAACAAGGGTGGTTGGTCTTTGCAATGCAGTTATTCCTCTGCAGCTCTTACATTTTTGGGCTACTACAAGACTGGCAGAAGTTGAATTAATTGGTTTGGATTGAATCTAAAAATCATTTCCCCATTTGGAGCATCTTCTGCTGAGATATTCTTCCTTGCTCTACCTTCCTCTGTCCATTAGCTCTCTAGTGATATTACATTCCATAATATGATTACAGACTTTGCCACCTATTATTCTGGTATAGATGAGGTGGGGAGGGGGGAAGGAGAGAGAGAGAGAGAGGGAGGGAGGGAGGGAGGGAGAGAGAGAGAGCACATTCAGCACAGATATTTGAGTTTTGGTCTCAGTTTTGTGGCAGATTGCTCCATAACATTTTGTAAGTATGTTTACACTCCTCTTTGTAGAGAATGAGCGCCGCCTCTTCCATTGCCAACCCTGCCCAATAGCAAAGGGTGCCTTCTCCTATTCTCTCTCTCTCTCTGCTTGCTGCCACCTGTGCATGTGTGGACAGGGATGGGTGAATCAGTCAATTTCAGTGTCTCTCAGTTTCTCCTTTTTCTTCTTTTTTGCAATTCATCTTTATCGGTTTTTCCTTTTTCCAGTCTTAAGTTCAGTTCTTCCCATTTCCACATGGGAGAGATCGCTGTTTTATTCAGGTCTTACTAGCAGGCTTCCCATAGGCAATTGGTTGCCTCTTACTGTGAGAGCAGATGTTGGACTCAATGGGTCTTTGCCAAATCCAGCAGGGCCCTTCCTGGGCTCTTATGAGCAGCTGCAGGTTCTCTAACAGAGAGTGCCCTTTCTTCACGTGTGCTTCACCTTCCCTGCCTCCACTCCACAAGCTGCTTCGTAATTATTTTCCAGAATTACCAAAATGTGCTGTCGAACATCTACGCAGCTCCAAATGGCTGTGTTCTCTGAGCCGAACACAGGTAACCAAAGCAACATGATTAGGACGCATTTCCAACAGCACTTTAGCCCATGTGAGGTTTGCACTTTTGCAGTGATGTTTGAATGATGACTCAAATTGAGATTACACTCAGGCACACGACAGAAGCCAGTGCTAAAAGGGCAATGCAGACTATACCAGGATGTTGAGCAGGGCTGTCAAAACTCCATAGGGGTCAGTGGATGAAATTTTACACCCAGCTAATGTCCACAGGACCATGCATAAGGTTTATTGTTTTTAACCAAAAAGTCAATCCCACCTTGATTTACCACCGTCATCCCTCCCAGGGACTACACCTCAATCCTCTGTAATTGACACATCCTGTAAAATCCAAATCAGGGCCTGCTGACGGTGGAGTGGAAGTGCAGGCCATCATCACCATCACACAAAAACACATACACACCCAGGGCCACAAACCCCTAAAGGAAGCATGAAATAATAGCCAATCTGTTAGGATCAGAGTGACTGCAATTCTTTGCCTGATTACCTGCAAGTGAGCTTCACTGAACTCAATGAGGCTTTATTTATGACGGCATTGGCTAAGAACATAAGTGCATCAGGCATCTTTTTTCCCTGACTTCTCCAGGCAGGGCTTGGAGACCCCCATGTGAAATCCAGGAGAGTTGCTTCCAGTCAGTGCAGGCAGTACTGAGCCAGATGGATCAGTCGGTCTGTGTTGGTATATATATGGCAACTTCCTGTGTTCCCAACCCAGCATCCTGTTCTCGCAGTGACCAACCAGGGAGCTCGTAAGAAGGACCTGTGCACAACAGCCCTTTCCCCACGTGTGAATCCCAGTAACAGGCGTTCAGAAGCATACTGCCTATTGCCTCTGACCGTGGCTAGTAGCCGCTGATAGCCTTTATAAAATAAAAACAGCCCTGCAAAATCAGACCAAAGGCCCATCTAGTTCATTATTCCACATGCAGGCAGGACGTGATTACAACTGGAGACATCTGGTATTTATAGATAGACAGGTTGAGCAGGTAGGAAAACAAGTGTGCAGGCTGTATGAATCCCAAAGCAGCAGCATTCCAGCACTCCAATAATTCCCTTGCCAGCCAGAAACTTCTTGGCAGTCATCTCCCGCCAGCCTAATTCAATCACAGGTTTACAGCTATGTTTTGCTAATGGGAAATAAAGTTTTAGAGCCAAGCCCTGGATGTTTATCTTCTGCCCATGCATGAGCCCCCGCAGGTATATGTACAAAGGGAATGACTTGCCTGTGGTGGTGTCACAGCTCTGTGCCTGCAGTGCTGTGCTCTTAGACCTCTGGCTATTAGCAAACACTATTTCCCTCCACCCCACACTGAATCCAAAGGGAAAACAAAGACACTTCTTTCTTTTGGGCACGAAGCTAATTGGGAAAGAAGCTAATTAATGGGTTGTTAGACTGTTCAAAACAGCTAAGAGGATTAGCCCCCCCCCCCATTGACCAAGTTCATCAGTTAATTGCAGCTATTTTCCATTTAATGTGCTCCAGATGGTGATAAGCTATCCAGATTGATGATTATTCTAGCATCTTCTGACCATTTCTCAGTACCGCCTCTTTATAACGTTCTCTTTTGTAATTGGTTATAAGTGGAGGTTGTCTTTGTTTTGTACAAATGGTTTGTTAAATGCCTCTTGCAAATTTACTGTGTGCTATTTCTGCTACTGTCTCTCTGTGTTATAAGTAGGACGGGGAGAGTGGAACAGAATTTTGAGAGGCAGGCTCTAGAAATAAAAAAAATATGACAGAAGTGTAAAAAACTATCCAACCTAGGCTGCTGTGCAACTGAACACAAATTAAACATGTATGGAAGCAACATTAACATGTTGTACCTGCCTTCCCCGCCTCCATTCCTTCCAGATGTTTTGGACTACAACTCCTATCATCCTTGACCACTAGCCATGCTGGCTGAGGCTGACGGTAGGTAAAGGTAAAGGGACCCCTGACCATTAGGTCCAGTCGTGACCGACTCTGGGGTTGTGGCGCTCATCTCGCTTTATTGGCTGAGGGAGCCGGTGTACAGCTTCCAGGTCATGTGGCCAGCATGACTAAGCCGCTTCTGGCGAACCAGAGCAGCGCACAGAAACGCCGTTTACCTTCCCGCCAGAGCGGTACCTATTTATCTACTTGCACTTTGATGTGCTTTCGAACTGCTAGGTGGGCAGGAGCTGGGACCAAACAACGGGAGCTCACCCCGTCACGGGGATTCAAACCGCCGACCTTCCGATCGGCAAGCCCTAGGCTCGGTGGTTTACACCACAGCGCCACCCGCGTCCCTCAAGGCTGACGGTAGTTGCAGCCAAAAACATCTGGAGGGCACTAGCCTGGAGAAGGCTGATTTGCATCCCCCAAAGTCAGCCAAATCTGTTTTAGTTGGTAGCAATAATTTATAATAGCCAGACCACATTCTGTGTTGTTGTTGTTGTTATAATTACACACCCTTCACTCTAAGGTCCCAGGGCAGGCTATACAACTAACAAAACACACTATTAAAAATTTAAAACCTTTGCTTTTGTCTTCTAGACAGCTCAAACAGTGTTGCTGGTGGTTGCTGTCTTTCTAATCTCCTGGCTCCCGCACCACATCATCACTATGTGGGCTGAGTTTGGGAAGTTCCCCCTGAACGATATCTCCTTCACCTTTCGCATCATCGCACACTGCTTAGCCTATGGGAACTCTTGCATCAACCCCATCATCTACGCTTTCCTGTCGGAGAATTTCCGCACAGCCTGCCGGCAAGTCTTCACATGCAAGGGCCTCCTTCAGCCGCCCCCTGCGGAGAAGATGGTGAGGATCCGCATGGAGAACTTCTCCACTTCTCACTCGACAACCAACGTGTGACATGGGGCGGGGAGGAAGAGCTATCAGCAAAGGAAGAAACAAGAGAAATGCAGCAGTGCCCAGAAATTCCTTGCACAGGCACAGATACATCTCAAAAGGGGTGGGGGAAGCAGACCCATTCTGGATGTTCCCTCTGTGACATTAATGGTACTCACAGGAGCTGTCCATTCCTCATCACCACCATTGCTCATAATTGTGGCTTCAGAGCGACAGCTTTCTGAGATGTTTCCAATGTTTTATGGAGGTGTGGCACCTAAAGCTGCTACAGGCTGAGATTTAACTTTTGTTTACAGCTGAAAGTAAGGGAGCCACTTAACCCCAGCCCCAAAAGAGGATGCTGATGTGCATTTGTATAGGAACAAATTTAGAATCACTGTAAATTCAACAGAAGTACAATATGGGGAAGATACTGGCCAAGTGACTGGTGGGCCTGCTCAGTCCAGATGCTCACTCTTGACAGGTAACTTCAAACCCTCCCAGTCTATCTTTATTTTTAAACTGGACTTGGACCGCAAAACCCTTCAAAGTAAGGCTTCTTGTGGAGCAGGACACATTCTGCTTCACTATGTATGAAGTGTAGTAATGTCTTATGGAAAGATATGTCCATGTGTGAAGTAAGTCTATTTAGCAGTGACGGATAATAAAGGTAAGAGGATGGTGAAGGAAGACACATTGGAAGGCAATTGTTGCTATGGATCCATAGTGCTAAAGCTCACTTTTATCTCCACCACCTCATTTGTGAAAGGCTTCCTTGATTATATCATGGTCAGATGTTGCATTGCACATACCAAGACATTTTGAATTTTTGGCCCAAGATAATTTTGCCCTTTTGATACAGAATGTACACTGGCATAGTCACTCTTCTTTGCATAATTTATTTAAAAAACTGATCTGTATTATTTATTCTGGTTTGGGTATTAATAGGAAGGAGCCAGTTAGGGCACTGATGCCTCCCTCTCAACCGCTGAAAATTATTTCAGCTACTTTTCTGGGTTCTGATGTTTCAGCATGCCCTGCCTGAATACTGGTAAGTATATCTTCATAGACATAAGGACTAGAAACTTGTTTCTCCATCTCCAATTAAACAAACAAACACTTTGATTTGCAGGAAGCAGAAATCTGCTTCTAATACATTTTGCTTCCAATGCCATCCTCTGTGCTTATTCCATATCCTGCAGAAAAGGTTGCCCAGGCATAGCCCAGATGGCCCAATTAATATGTCTAAGTGGCACATTTATCATTTGAAACACAATGTGCATAGCTTCATTTGTGAAAAGTGTTGATGTGACACCAGCTCCCTGCACAGTTCTGACAACATGAACAAGTCTATCACAAACCTCTGCTTTTGTGTTGGTGTTGCTCAAATCCAAGGACTATGTTCAGAGCCCCCTGGAGGGTAAAAATTAAATAGATCAATCTCTACAATCAGAAAGAGAGTTTGATCTGATTCCACCTTGCCATGAAGACCTGTGTCCACATAGCTGTGTCTCCAAAAAGTAACCATGCTGTGTGTAATATTCCTGCCCGATCACTGAGGTCTTTGAGAGATTTTCTAGTGGTACTCCCATGGTTCAGATGAATGGCTTGTAGTCTCCAGGAGCCATGCATTCAGTACTGTTGACCCAGTTTCATGGAACTTCCTTTCAGTTGAGGTCAAGCAGGTCTGCTGAACTTCCGGCACCTACTGAAGACTTTTTTTAGTTCAGCAGGAATTATGATTTTACAGTCTTAATTGATTTTTGTCATTATTGTGCTGGTTTACTTGAAAGGATAGAATGATAGAATTTGAAGGGACCCCATGGATCATCTAGTCCAACCCCCTGCAATGCAGGAATATGCATCCATACAGGGATCAAACCCGTCACCGTGGTGTTATCAGCACCATGCTCTAACCAACTGAGCTAACCAGCTTGTACACAGCTTAGAGACTATAGTAATCATGATATAAAATGGCAGGTGCAGACCAGATCTGGCTAAGATCCGGTAGGGCATGGGAGAGACAACAGAGGGGGAGAGGCAACAAGAATAATCAGAAAATAGGAGAATGGTAGAGGCACGAGGCAACACATCATGAATGTTAAGAAAATGTCATAAGACACATGTATGCTTTGTGCTGAGCTTCATTATGGTTTCCGTAAGGCACCAATCTCTCTTTCTGTTCAGAGGCAGTGCCTGCAAACTGTGTGATTGAATATGTATATATTTTTATTTCATTCTGCGAACCGCCCTGAGACCTGCGGGTATAGGGCAGTATATTAAATAAATGAATAAATAAATAAATGTTCATGTAAAAAACACACACCTGTTACTGTGCATTATCTCAATGCATCAGACTAACCACCAGGCTGTGTGTTTTTTCCTACACTGTGTTGCTGTCGTAAAAATGAGAAACACCATCGTGATTAGCCTGCAGTGGGAATGTCCTTTGCTTCACTCTGCTGTGCAAAATTGGAAAACACTGTATTAAAACATTGTGTGACTCCATGTTCAATAAGTCTCAGTGCTTTTATTATTATTATTAAGAAAAATAGCCCTAATCAACTAGCTATCAATCCTGCTTGGTGCTGCTTCAGGGACAGGCATAGAATAATAGAATTGTAGAGTTGGAAGGTCATACTTGGAAAGGTAATGAATGAGGAGGCAAGTCCAAAGTCCAAGAATTATTATAGAAAGTGGTCCCCAGATGTTCCACAGGTGGTCATTCATAACTGGCCAGTAAAAAACCCCAGCACAATAACGAAAACAAAATTTGAACTACAAGCAGGAATTCAAGTCATTGTAAAATCTTCCATGGATTTAGGAAACTCTAATTGGGATCAGAGAGGTAGCATCAAACTAGCCTTTCTGGATCCTGGTGTATGGGATAAATTTTGGTCTCTAATGTTTGCTGAATTTATTCAAATTAAAAGGTTGTCTCAATATCCACACCAACCTTTCTCTGCACTTAATTCAGAAAGGGAATTGCAATTTGTAAAAGGCAACTTGAGCAGAAGGGGCAGGAAGTTGTAGAGCCATAAGACTCCTGCCTTTTGTCACCTATCCTAATAATATCCAGATAGGTTCCAAGACAAAAGAAGAAGGGAAGTATTGGCCCAATTGCAGGTACAGTACTGGAAGAAATATGCCCAGGTTAGAGGCCCCAAACTCCTACCCTGCTAGCAATATATTTCCCATAAATCAAAGGAATTATCCATTAACAAATGCTCAAGATAAGCTCAGGCCTATGAGTAATTATAGAAAAGCATATTGTGATACCTTCAGCTCTCCTTTAAGATACCATAACTGACTAGAAAACATCCAGAAAAGTCTTAACATTCTTTCCTGGGACCTGGCAGGTTGGGATAATAGGAAGACAGATAAAGTTCTTTTTAATACAGGTATCAAGCATTCGGATTAGCAGCCAAAGTGGGTTATGCTAGGACAACAAGAGTTGCATAGTCATTTGAAGGTCACATCCTATTGGTGCTGGTACAACCACTGTGGCCCTTGCACCAGCAAAACTGGTGGCCTTGCAATAAGTATGTATATTGCACCCACATGCAGATGTCAGGCTGGATTTAATCTGTTAGCTCAATGTGAATACCATTGAAGTAAATGGGTCAAATCAAGTCTTAACTCTCTTTGATTTCATTAGGAGTTAAGTTCAGCTAACAGACTGGCTTCACGTGCATAGGAACATAGGAAGGTACAAATATTTTCCAGTCACAAGTCCTTTTAGCTCAGTATTCTCTACACTGACAGGATTGCCTACACAATCCAGGATTAGAGGTAGGGGCTTTTCTCAGCTCTACCTCATGATGGCTGGAATTGAACCGGGAACCTTTGGCATGCAAAGCATGTATTTCACCACTGACCAACAGTTCATGCATCAAGAGAAATGTGCAAATGGCAGAGGGACAAGAAGAGCCCATTGAAAAGTTCTGCCCCAAATTCTCTAACTGCTCTGGCTGCTTAGGTAAGAACAAGAAACAAAGGGTGCTTCAGGTATAGGTTGTCATTCTTTCTTTGAAGTTGAATCTGACCTCTATATAGGTGAAAACAGTAAGGGGATCACACAGAATAGTTCCTCCCTCCCCTTTATCTGATGGATGTGCTCACCTAACACACAAGCATGAGCCTACATGAAACTGAGAAGTCAGATAATTCCATTCCAACAGTAATTTATGCTTGTGCCTTTATTGAGTACACATAGTTATTTGGTTGGGCTGCTCTTTTGCACAGGTTCTCAACCTAAGTACACAGAATGTTTGATTGCACTTACACAGTCAAGTACCTATTCAAACATCACTTTAAACTAGAATCCTTTAGTGAGACTCAGGGCTTTTTCTTTTTAGACAAAGCTTCTTTAACAACAGGTTCCATCCCTGGCAATGGAGTCCTTTTACGAGCTGCAGTTTCTATTTTCCGGACAAGGTCCACATCCCACCTGTGGGTTACAAAACTAACTGCAGTCCCAGGGAACTTACTGCCTGTGCGACCAATACGCCCAACACGATGCAGATAATCGTGCAGTGTTGCTGGGAAGTCATAGTTCACAACTAGCTCTACATGGGTGGTGTCCAGACCCCGGGAAGCAATATCAGTGCATACTAAGATGTCGAATTGGCCTTTCTGGAAGGTGTCAAAGATGCCAGCTCTCTCAAGTGCTGGCATCTGTCCTTGCAGGCGTAGGTGTTTAATTTTATGATCATCCAAAATGTAACCAAGCCAGTTGACAGTGCTGGCCTTGTTGCAGAAAATCAAAACAGCTCCAGATGTGGGCCCCCGGTCTTTCATAAGCTGCAACAGCTCCACCACCTTGTCAGCTCCTTTCAGACGCACAAACTTTTGCTCAACATGAGGTTGAAGACGATGCAGACTAAAGCTGGTTAGGACATTGAAGCTGCTCAGATCAGTGACTTTACTCAGCAGGTCACCCAACCCCTTTGGAAGGGTGGCTCCTACAGCCACTAACTGGGCTTTAGGATTCCAAACATCACCAAGTTCCTCAGGGCTAGTGGCAAAGAAGGCATGCCGAAGCACATCTTCCACAAGGTCTACAAATGTGGGATCCAGCAAGGTGTCCACTTCATCCAACACTAGGCAGCACAGCTTTTCCAGGGACAATCCCTTTCTCTGCAAAGCCTTATACAGTGCACCTGGTGTGGCCACCAAGAGATCAGCAGGACCAGCCCGGAGCTTCTGCTGGACATAGTGTTTGCCCCAGCCACCACCTATATCTGTCACCTGCAAGTCCAGTGGAGTGCACAGGTAAGAGGCAATGTGTCGCACCTGTCCTGCAAGCTCCCGGGATGGCAACACCACCAAGGAGCGGGGGGCAGGGATAGCAGCGGCCCCATATGTGAGGGCCGGGGATTGCAAGAGCCGCTGGATAAGGGGCAGTAGGTAGGCCAGGGTTTTCCCGCTGCCAGTCTCTGCAGCACACAGCGCATTGCACCCCGTCAGAAGGGGAGGGATGGCACGTATCTGCACAGCAGTGGGCTTAGAGATGCTGAGAACATCCTCTAAGATGGAGGCCAGCTGTGGCTGCACTCCCAGAGCTTGGAAAGAGGAGGGAGCGGCATCAGCAGCATCGGGGTTTCGCTCCTGAGGCGCCTCCTGTCGCATTCGCTGCAGCTGGAAATAATCCCCCTGAGACAAGCGATGCTTCCAGCCAGCCGAGACCAAGGGCGGCTGTTCCCAGCGCCCCACCGTGTGGCGAGCGGCTTGACTGAGTTCCGGCCGCCGGCTCCGCAGCAAAAGCTTCCCGGTCCGAGGAACGTCAGCTGCGGGGGCGCCTCTTCCTCTGCGCCTGAAGGAGCCCCGCTCCAGCCGCAGTTGCCAAGCGCGCGGGATCCGCACCACCTTCTCCGACTCCGGTGCGAGCGGCGGCCCGCCGGAGCTCGGGCGGAGGACCCAGCGGTGGAAAGCCAGCCGCAGCCACGGGGAAAAGCGGGTCAGGGCGCCCCGAGAGGCCCCGCACGCGGCGAGAGCCATGAGACTGAGCCTCCGCAAAGTAGAATAGGAAAGTTTCGGTAAGAGTCGCGTTCTAATGACGTCTCAAGCCCGCTCTTGTTTCTATTCGGCGATCGGCCTTACCGCATGCGGTCGTCGACTGATGGCGTAAACCGCGTGCGCTGTGCCGCGTTCAGAGAATGGACAGTTGGTACGCCATAGAGAAAGAAGTAGAGTGATACTTCCGGCATGAAGTTTCCAGCCGGGATGGTCTCACAGAAATATAACAAGATATTGCAGTCACACAAAAAAGTTCTGTTTATGGACTATTTATACACGTAGAGTGGTGTCGCTGTATTGCTGTGGTATCTCCACAGGTATTATACCGTATCTAGCACTTCATCATACCGTACCTAAATATTTCAGGGCTGATGCCCAAAATTGTAACGGTCCAGTCTCTGTTGTTTTCTATGGACATCTCTCAATTTCCGAGGGAAGAACAAAAATGTTTCTTTTCATTTTTTAAATTTTGTTTTCAAAAGTAGAACTGTAAATTGAAGTTGCATTTTTCTCCATTTCTATATCTATGGGAAAGGGGAGACTTGTGGGGATGACGTACTGCGAGGGGGTGGAGAAGGAATGGGCGCGCGTGCGTGGTAGCTGACTCCTCGAGGAAGGAGGTGGGGCTGAGTCCGGCGCGTGGTGAGTTCGTTGGGAATGGCATTTGCCTCCTCTAGGCCGCCCCTCTGCCCTCTCCTTCTGAAGCTCCTTAAAGGGATAGAGGAGGCCCCCATCCCCTCCCCTAAAACCCCCTTCCCTAACTTTGGGCTGGGCTCTCATTTAGCCGTGCTTGGAGAAGAAAGCAGCAGAACATTCAAGGCGATAAAAATAAGTCCATAATAAGTCGGCCTTCCCAAACCTGATGTTTTCCAGATGTTGAACCGCTGGCTGTGCTGGCAGGGGCTGATGGGAACTGGAGGCCCACAACTTTCCAAGGGTCCCCCCCCCCCATTACTGCATTGGTCTTTTCCTCTCCTTGGTGCATCAAATTACCCTATTATGGGAGACCACCGACATCTGGAGGTTGCTTAGGCTGTTTAATATGCCATAATTAATTTGTTTAGTCAAGGTGCTGCAAATCTGGGTTGTATCTAACAAATCAGGGTTGGTAATTTTTCATAATGTGGCGCCCTCAAATCCTCTCAATTATGGATCTTCTCCATTTTGTGCTCCCTTGGCTCAATGCCCTGTGTGGGGAAACTGCCCGCACTGCCCTACATCTGGCACTGAACTCATGGTCAGAGCAGACCCATTGAAATCAGTGCTGTTCAGTTAGTCACGACTGATTTAATTCAATTGGTTTCAATGGGTCTGCTTTTGAGTATGACCTAGTCAGATACAAGCCTTTTCTCTCTTTGCTTCAGCAGACTAACACAGGAGCTCCCAAATTGTAATCTAGGAACTGTTTGTGAAGAACAGCAGAAGCAACAGTATGTTTTATTATTTACTAAAAAACATGTAGCACCTACTACAGCATATTGCAATTGCTACAAC